ACTCAGAGCGGGGGTGTGATATAGCAGGGTCGGTGCCCTGGCGGGCCCCGGCACCATAAGGGTGCACAGGAGTGGGGTTGATGGTGGGAAATGGCAGTGTGGGAGGTGTGAGGCACCAGGGCAGTGGCAGGGGGGTCTGTCCGAGGGACACTGCTGCTGAGACCTCAGTGCCCCCTCCAAGCAGGGTCCCAAACCAGGGTGCCCAGACAAATGTCACCTGCAGGCCATGTGGGTCCTCTGTTCCCTGCAGAGTTTTTATCCCTGTTGTCTCTCATAGCCAGGACTGTCCTCCCTGTCAGGTCTGTGGTCACCAATAGCTGCAGCAGCGTGGCCAAGCAGCTCTGTGACTTTGTCTGTGACTGCAGCGACTGCTCGGACGAGAACCAGTGTGGTGGGGGCCCCCCTCTCTCCCAGGCCCTGCTCCTGGAACAAGAGCAGGCATGGAGTGGGGGAGTTGTGGGTGGGAGTCCCAGGGTGGATGCAGGACCTCAAGGGGGGTGCAGGGCCCCAGGGTGGGTGTAGGTCTTCCTGGCAGTTGCAGGTCTTTAGGGTGGGCATAGGTTCCTGGGCTGGACACAGGTCCCTTGGGTGACTGCAGGTACCCAGCTGGGTACAGGAGCCCAGGGTGTGTGCAGATCCATGGGGTAGGTACAGGTCCTTTGCAGCGTGTGCAGGTGCCCAGGCTGAATGCAAGTGGGTGCATGTGGGGTCCCCCAGGTGTGTGTGGGACTCTAGGGTGTGTGCAGGTCCCCTGGGCTGGCTGCAGGTCCCCTGGGTAGGTGCAGGTACCCAGGAGGGATGCAGGACCCAGGTGGGTGCAGATCCCTGGTGTGGGCACAGGTCCCCAAAGCAGCCCCAGCCCTGCCCTGACCCACCATCCACCCACCCTCAGGGTATCTGCAGGGCTCAGCAGTGCTGGGCACCCCCTTCACCTGTGACTTCGAGGACAGCGACTGTGGCTGGCAGGACACGAGCACCTCGACGTACAGATGGGTGCGAGGCCAGGCCAGTCTGGCCACCTGGGGCACAGCGCCCCGTTCAGACCACACAGTGGGCACCGACCTGGGTAAGCAGGAGCTGCTTCGCTGGTGAGCAAGCTCTGGGCACCCACAGCACTGCCCCACTGGGCCGTGGGTGCCCTGGAGCCAGGGTGCCAGGACACCCATCTTTGTGGGTGCAGAGGACGGAGCAGACCCATGGAGGGGCAGGAGTGGTGCTGGCACAGCCCCAGTGCCATCCCATGGGACTGGAGCCCCTGCTCTGCTCTCTGCCCACCCCAGGCTGGTTCATGGTGACCGTGTACCCCCCGGCAAAGCCCACAGCCACGGCCTGGCTAAGGTCACCGGAGATGCGGGAAGCAGCCGCAACGTGTGAGATCAGAGCCTGGTACCACCTCTCAGGGAGCAGTGAGGGCACCCGAGGTGGGCATGGACAGCATCGGGGTACTGGGCACAGGGCAGTGAGCATAGGGGGCAGTGGGAAGGGATGGGGCCATCTACCCCCCATAGCAGGGACAGAGCCACTGGCACCTTGAGATGGGTCCTTGCCATCCCACTTGCCTCTTCCACACTCCAGGTCCCATCTCCAGTCCCCAGAGCTGGCAGGGCTCAGTGGATCCTTGGGGGTCCCATTTCCAGTCTACAGAGTTGGCAGGGCTCAGTGGGACTCAGGTCCCGTCCCTAGTCCCCAGAGCTGACAGGGCCCCCTTCATCCCTGTGGGTCCCCTGGGATGCCCAGTGCCAAGGGCAGTTTTGGTGCTCCCCGCAGGGCCCAACCAGATGGAGCGGGCGGTACTGCGCCTGGCTGTGGTGCACAGGGACGAGGTGGTGGGGCTGTGGCAGAGCCCCAAGTGTGGTGGAGAGGGCTGGCACCAGCTGGTCGCTTACCCGGGCCGGATTGCAGAGCAGTTCCAGGTGAGACAATGCCAGTACATGGGCACTGTCCCCACGAGCTGGGGCCAGAGCAGCTA